CTCACACAAGAAATTCAATGTTTTAGTGCTTCCAATATAATTTCACCCAAACTTACACAGAGAGAGGTTTAGGTTTTACAGGAATAAAGTAGCACCCTCATCTGCCGAGAGTGGTCTGTGAAGGTGCCATTCAGTGCTCTTTAAAAAGGGTGAAATGCTTTCATCTGAGACCTGAAGAAACTGCCTGTCATTCTAGACCATACCCTGGTGAGTGTTAGACGCAGAATTCTTGACCAGTGATGACGAAAAAGAGGCAATTACAGACTACACAGTCTTGTCTATCTTATGAGTCCTCCCTGTGCTATTATCACAACAAACAGGTTGGGAGAACTGTAAAGAGAAAAGAAAAACCATACCGTACTGTCATTTTTAATTCAGTCTTTGCCAAAGCATAAAAACATAAACCATGACTTTCTCTCACTAAATTCAGTTAAAATCATAACATTTTCTGTTTAGAAAGTAACTGATATTGGTCTGTGGAATAAATTTAACTTTCACAGTAAATTGTCATCATACGTCAATACTAGACTGTAAGTATAGTTCCAAGATAATGGACACAAAAAAGTATTTCTAAGAATAGATGACTATTCCAGCTTCTTATTAAAAGAGTTGCTTTAATTCCTTTCAGACATTATACAGTGTTACTATATTTCTATTTAAGACCCCATACTTGTGGAAATTTGCTTTGTCTAGAGGCAAGGTTTCAGGTTGTCCTGTAAAACATTTATTTAGTCCAAAGGAAAATTCTACCGAATAAATCCTTGCCAATGCCATGTACGCTGTCTGGCCCAAAAATGAGGAACAAAAATATGCTTCTATGGGCAAGTTTCTAGGAAATCATCCGGACCGTAATAGAACTGATACTCCCCACCGCCCAGCATTTGTACCAGAAAACTGTAATGAATAAAGTAAATACTGAATTTGAACTTGTCCCTTTCATTATAAAGACCTTTAATTACTGGAATACTAAATTAATCTCCAGAAGTGATCAGTTTTCTATCATCCAGACTAAAAATTTTTAATGTTATAAAGGCTGCTTGATTTTTCCCTAAGAGACTGCATTTCATGGAAGATCCGCATCCAACGTAAATACAGTCCACTGAGGTATGCTTGCTGCTTTTCCTGCTGGAACTTCCTTATTTGCCTTTCTTCCTTCAGGGACAAACATGCTGCTGTTCCAGAAGGAGGGACTTTTACTGTCCACCTGTTTTTGAGAAATCATATTACTTCAACTCAAGATTATCCCTTGGTACCAGATGGGTTTCTTCATTTTTTTTGGAGTTTAGTATGATCATATGGTACATATATTACATAATATATGTATGTGATAATAATATATATATAATATATATTATAATAATATATGTACATATATATATACATCTACCTAAGCAGGGCCTAAGTTAGATCCCCCAAATCAATGCATTAATGGTGAGACAAGACTATTCCCACTAAGTGGGATAAAGCCTCTCAAAAGCTCTATGCCAGTTTAGATATGTTTTCGATGCCATATGACTTTTGGCACCAAACACAAAGAACCACTTGGTTTTGAAAGCTTTTTGGATTTCAGAACTGCAGATAAAGGACTGCAGACTTATATATATATGTGAAGGATGCTTGGAAGGAAAGGCCTTTATAAACTCTGTGTTAGATGAAAAGAGATACTTGCCCCCCTGCCCCAACTCCTTTTCTTAAAACTCTCCATCTTACTATGACATCTTATGTTTCCTCAGACACACCTGACGCACACTCACCTCTGAGCACTGGCTTTTTCCTCTCTGTGTTCTGTTCTACCCGCTCTGGCGCCTGGCTCACTCCCTCACCCTCTGCAACACTTGGCTCAAATAGCACCTCGGCAAGTCTTGCCCTGACCACTCTCCTTTAAGTGTTAAAACTCCTCTCCCTACCGGTACTCCCTGCTCTCCCCCCGGCACGTCTTTCTCCACAGAACTTAATACAATCACATATACTATATTCCTCGTTTATTTATTCGTTTGCTCTCTTTTCCCGAAACTAGAATTAGAATGTAAGTTCCACAGAGAGGGGGAATCTTAATTTTATTTACTTGTTGTTGTATCACATTTTAGAATGTGCCTGAAATACAGTAGGTACTCAATACATGGCATTTTCAAAGAGAAAGAGAATATCGTTTCTACATACTTGGAAAACATACAGAAAACATACCTTTTTTCCCCCCTACATACGGGCTTCTTCTAGATGCTACAACTATAGTAGTAGGTAAGGCCAGCCAGGTTGATGCCGGGGTGGGTAAACAGGCAACAGGCAACCCGAGTAAGGCCGTTTCTGACGGTGATGAATGCTGTTACACTTTTGAAGGAGAGTGGCACAGTACAGAGGAAGGATTTTAGCTTGGGTGTCAAGGAAGGCCTCTGAGCTGAGCCCTGAAAGACAAGAGGAAACCAGCTAAGCAAAATCCTGGGGGAGGAGCACGCTGGACAGAAGGAACAGCAAATGTAAAAGCCTGAGGTAGGGATGGGCTTGGCGTCATAAGAGAAGAAGGCCAGCGGGGGTAAAGCACAGTGAGCAGGGAGAAAGTAGCCTGAGAACAGGACGGAGAAGAAGGTAGGCGCCGCTTCCCAGGCCGCGATCAGGAGTCTGAATACTTCAAGGAGAGGAGCAAAGTGAATCAATTTATATTTTAAAGGGGTCTTTAAGGAGTAGAAAGGTAAAGAGGAAAGAGAGGGAAGTGGAGACCAGTTAGAAGTCTTTAACAGTGGTCCAGACAACAGCTAATAGAAGACTCAGGATTTTATCTTGAGCAAGTAAGTGTTTAGTAACATGGGAAAAGACTAGGGTAGAAAAGGGTGTTTTTGTTTGATTTTGGTTTATATTTTGAGAAGCTGGGTGGGGAGGAGGGGTAGGAATCAGCGGTTCTGTTGGCTGTGAGAGCTCTGACTTCCATGAAGAGGTCAGGCTGGAGAAATAAATCTGGGATTCATCAGCATATAAAGCCCATTCTTAAAGGCTAAGAACGGATGAGATACTAGGAGAGAATTTAGATACCGAAGAGAACGTTAGTGCACTTAATACAAAGACCACATCAGACCATTAAGACTCTTAACAACTAATTTATTTAAAAATAGACAAACTATTGTTAATCGTAGAAAATAGTAACAGCGATTTTAAATGTACAGTTTTAACCAATACAAAAAGCAATAAAGCAATATCTGAAGCCTTATTTAAGAAATCTCAATACATGATCTCTGAAGTTCCTTAAGTTCTGACACTAATTCTAACATGAACTTATTAGCAAAAGACTCAGAAATGTGGTAAGCCCTTGACCTAAAAACTAACTGATTTGTTTGATATTCATGCAAAAATGAATGAGGAAATGAGATAAAGCTTTCTAGTGCCTTTGCTATCAAGATAACTGTCAAAAAAATAAGTTTGCAACTTAACTGAGCACAAAATAAAGTTTTGTTTTCTAACAAATAAGACCAGGTTTCTTTTTAAAAAGAACTCTGAGTTTAGACAAAGTAATTTTCCTAAAAGCTAATAGATGCTACCTTAAATACCACCTATTTTAAATTATACCATCTCTAAATAAGTTAATCACACAAGATATTTAAGTACACCTTTAGGTGTTGGAGGGGGGAGCGCCTCTTTTCTAATGCAGCTGTTTTAAATTGAAGCTTTTGCACAAAATCAGAGAGAAACATTAATGCCTAACCCAAAGACCTTTTGTTACCTGCATTTTGGATGAGAAATGATGCGGCTTTGAAAATGCCAGTGTTAGACCATGCTGAATTAAGAAAAAAAAAAGGACAACTGCTAGTTCAAAAGATACATGGAAGATATGTACCATTCCAGAGCAAACACACCCTCTTCCCGCATTCAGGAGGGCAGAGTAATTGCTGAGATGTAATTATATAACTCTCTAAAAAAAAAAATAAGGCTCCTATAGTTAACAGTCTGTTTGTGGAGTAAAATTATTTTGTATCTTGATGCTTCGGGACCCAGAAACGTTAGAAAGTGCACTTGGGATATACTGTATTAGGGTCCTCTGCAGCAAAGCTCTAGCTGAACACTTTATTTTCCAAGCACTAGATGGGTACTTCATGAATTCAGTGATCTGAATGGTATAAAAACCAAAAGTACTATTAATAACTCTTTATTTTAAAACATGAGTTGGAGGAAGAAAAGAATAAATTTTTACAAGTCCTGAGGTATGAAATCTGTATCAGTAGTATGACAGTATCTCATATGTTTATACTTTGCTTTCTGTTTGTATTTAAAAACTAATATTTATAAAACAAACACACAGTACATCCATTTAGTTTCCATGAGTCAACTAAAATCTAATGTGTAAAAATTAGTAATTTTTCCCTAGTTTCTAATATATGTTTTAGCACAAGAGCTCAGGATCATTTGGGCGAATGGGGGCAGTCAGCCAAATTGCATTTGGAAGACAAGACGCATTTTCTAAGGGTGTTCATGTTAAGTTAAAAAAAATAAATATAAATTAATAAAAATAAGAGCAAACATCACATACATGCCACAAGAGAAGACAAAGTACTCAGACAGGCACAGGTTGTGAGGACTCTCACTCCCAGGGGATCCTGCCACCATTTGTAAAGCAGAGCAATTATAAGTAAAACCCCTACATACGAACGAGTTCCATTCAGAGCGTGCTTCATAAGACCAATTTGTTTGTAAGTCCAGCGAAGTTAGCCTAGGTACCCAACTAACACAATCAGCTATATAGTACTGTACTGTAATAGCTTTATAATACTTTTCACACAAATAATACATAAAAAACCAACAAACACAAAAAATAAAGAAAACATGTTTAATCCTACAGTCCAGTACCTTGAAAAGTACAGTAGTCCAGTACAACAGCCGGCACACAGGGGCTGGCATCGCCTGAAGAGGCAAGAAGAGTTACTGACTGGAGGAGGGAGAGGAGGTGGGAGATGGTAGACCTGAAGGATCCTCAGCAATAGGAGACGGAAGGCAAGCTGCAATTTCACTCACGCCTGACATTAATGGCACAGGTTCTGGTTCCTTGCTGGATTCAATTGTTCGCATCTTTGAAAGTTCGTATCTTGAAGGTTCGTATGTAGGGGACTTACTGTATTTTGGAAATGGAAACATCTGCTACAGCTTTTTAAATGGCAGGACTGGCACAGGATTTTCAATCTTGTACAATAACAATGCATGTTCTAGTGACTACAATGTTGCAAGTGGCTTAGGAATCCCCTGCACAAACACTCAACTGTGCTATCCACAAAAAGAGCTGAAGGTATGTATCAAATGTGGCCGTAAACAGAACCTGGGAGAGTTCTACAGTCAGATCTGTGGGAGACAATGAAGCCGGAGATGTACAGGGTGCCCACCAAGGTCGTGAGGTCCTCACTTTTCTTCCCTGTTTGAGGTATCCGTGCTATCATTCATTTTCTGCTTTTGCATTCGTGTTCGAGTAGATGCTAAAACAAGGATGAAGAAATGTTAACAGCACTGATGGTGCTGGGTAAGCTGGTAAAGGGCTGCCACGTATGTTATGCTTATGCCAAACTGATGGAGCCCAGGGCCTCGCAAAAGCAGTGGTTTCGTTTTTTAAATCATACATCCCCATCAGCAAATTTTTTTCCAAGCAGTACCACTAAATGTATGTATGTATGTATGTATGTATGTATGTATGTATATGTGTCTAAATTATAAGACACACACACCCCAAACATTAAAATAGATGAGATAAAGACAAATATTCTAATAGTCTCTTTATGTACCCCCAAAAGGTGGTCTTACACACACCCAAGTGTGCCCAACTTTGTAGGCCACTGTTCTAGAGATGATATGGTTAAGTTTGGCACCTGAGCAAAACAGAATTCTGGGCTGGTCTGCTGAAGTGAGTGTTATTCTTCATAAAGCCAGGAATTCCCTTGTGTTTGGAGACACGCTGCAAGTACTGCAAACACATCAGCTCACAGCTCATTTAATTTGGACATGGACATTTAAAAATACATTATTAATTACAACACAAAAACAGAATGCTTCTCTTAAATAATTTAAAAAATCTTAACTTGATTTTAGAGGTGGGCAAAGGCTCTTCATAAAGAAGCACAAAACACTCACACTTGGTAAAGAAAGGAGTGACTCTAAGTCTCCCCTTCTGGCCCTTCCACTCTGAGCAATCTAGCACTGTGTAATGATCTTCTTCTGAATACAGTTTTTTTGAGGAAAGCTGAAGAGCAACCTGGAGAATTCCTTGTCCTCATGGGTTAAAACTCCTGCTACCTCTCCTCAATTTTCAGCTGCACAAAGGCCCTGAACTTCAGCCCGGCAGAGGGAATTCCTGGTCATAGCTAAGTATGTCACTGCGAAATGTACTGACTACAGCAACTGAGCTCTTCTATAAGAAAATATACACGTTTTTACAACTTTCTGCTCCTTTTAAAATGCATATTTGTGGGTTCCAAAATGCTTCCACATGTTTTTAAGGTCTGATTTTGGTTATAAGCTTCATGTCTATTTTCATGTACTGGGGGGAAAAGCTACAACTATTTAAAAGTTAAAACAGGAGTATATTAGTTGATGTAAAATCCAAAGAGAGATCCATTTATAGCCACAAAATTTAATTTAGTTTCAACAGTACTCTTCAAAATAATACACATAGAAATACGGTTTAAAAAATCAAAAGTATTTTTAAAAACACTTTATATTTCAAAGTTAGTATCTACAGAGACATATTGAGAGAAAGCCCCTTTTTAAAAAGTCACATTTTAATTGGTACTGTTCTTACTGATATGTCCTATGACCTAGGAATGACAGTTTTAATTCTTATTATCTCCTAAATATTTGTCTTCTTTCCAAGACCCAGCTCTGTTTCCTGTTAATGGGTCTGGCACCAGGTTATCAGGAAACGTCACACTCACCCTCACGGCTACTTCTCTAAGACAACGCAGTAGCAGTCAGTGCACACGGATCTTTTTCTTAATGTGCTTCCCATCTACTACACTTGGGTTAATCTTTCATAGTGTCAGAGTAGCTTAGGAGAGAAGTCCATTTGCCTTAACATTCCAAACTTAAGTCACTCTGTATAACTTGGAAAATGCTCTTGTGTGCTTTATCAAAATTCTGATTTCCAGTAATGAAAAACTTTTGTTTAAAATAAGTTCTAAAACTTGCAAATTAGGGAAGTTCAGTAATAGCAGAATAAAAGATTATTCTTTAAATAAGGGTGGTGATGTTTATATATGCTAAGTTTATAACATTCTTGCCTATATCCAATACTCTTAAATAAAGGTACCTCATTACAGTTCTGCTATCCTAAAATATTTTCTAACCACAGCCATTCGTGTTGAAGATTTGGTTTCACTTCTTGGTCTTCCCGCACAGATTTTAGGAAGGATGAAGATGACCTTCACTTTGCATCACACGTCTAATCCATACAGACTAGTAAATAACACATGCTTGAGCAAATTATATCTTGAACGCATAAGCAAGTCACTAATTGAAGAGATTCTATAAACTTATTCTTTTATAATGTGAAAAGGCTTTCTGCAATGTAAATGACTGTTCATTTACATAAGGTTTAATGGTAAGTACTTACTCATTTCTGCCAGTTTCTGTTGAAATTTGGACTCCCCTGGGAGATGTTTACTGCAGATTTAAAAAATGCAAAATATTTCATATGTATATGTATAAATGAAAACCTCAGATTTCCAATAACTATGTTTTCAATGACTTTTTATGCTCTTATTTTAGTGAGGAGCTTTTAATTTCAAAGGTTTATAAATCGAACATCTAAAATATAAATGTCATAAATTTATGATCCTAGATATTTTTTCAGTGGTTCTTATGAAACACAGTAGCATTTTTCAAGAGTAAGCATTTAAAAATCTAATGTTAATCAAAACTAACAAAATTTTATCAATAGCTTTGTAAAAAAATGACCAGATTTTTAACATCTGATATTTTCAATTAATTTCAGTAGATTTACATGGTGCTTTTAACTTTGGGATGCAGTCACACCTACTATTTTGAGCAATCATCATAATTTCCAAATAAAACTGGCATGAGAAGGACTGGTGTAAGTCGGGAGTAGGGCTGGCACTCTGGGTTCTCCCGATGACCAGCTCAGCTCCTGAAAAACGGCTCCTACCTTCCATCTGCTTCATCCGATCCTTCAATGTCAAAGCGCAGTTTTTTCAGTGGTTTAGGAGGGTTGCTTCCTTCAGCACTTCTTTTGAGCACACGGTCGCTGTTACACACCATTTGATTTATTTTCTGGAACTTCTCAGAAGTCTGCAAATTATGGAATTCTTTACTTTAAATCATTAAATGCCACCACTTTGCAGTTAGCAACCCCTAATTGTAGGTTTGAAGTGGGTCAAAAATCAGGCAGAAGTAATATCTGCATTTTAATTTTCTGCTTTTATGGACCAAATAAGAGATGTGAAAAATGTTAAAATCAGACTAACTGCACCTAACTCTGCCCCAATTAAATACCTGCTATTTTCAAACCCTCCTGTGTCTTCCCAACAACTCTGATGACTACTCCAAAAGTCCTAGTTCCTCGTTTTCAGAACCTACTCACACACAAAACTAGGTCTACTTCTCAGAAGCATGCAACGTTGGAACAGCTTCCTGGAACCTTATTTTTGACAGATCTTTTTTTTTCTTTTTAGAGCACAGCATAACCGGAAAGAATGTCACAGGAATTTAATAAGCGATGTTTAGTGAATAATAATTTGGGCTCACTTTATGGGTATCATGTTGACAAGTCATACTATATATTTGAAGCCATTATTGATGTATTGTTAGGATATCAGTATTTGTTGATATCCTAACTCTAAAAGTTTTAAAATAAAATATTAAATATCCAAAAAACTTAAGCATTTGAGTCCATCCAAGTATTACTAGAGATGATTTGAGATATTTATCTCCTGAGGGAGAATCCTTTCACAGCAAAGAAAGCTTTGGTAAGAAATACCAAAGGGGGCACAATACCTTATTTTATCCAAAACACAAACACATGGAAAAACTCTACGTCTTGTCTATCTATTTCAGAACCAGAGTGAGGTGATAATCTCAGTGATGTGTATTAACACATTTATTTGAACTCAAGAATGAAATCAGACTTTCTGATAGAAATTAAATGTGATTTGACTGATTTGACAGTAAGGATTAGCTTTGCTAATTATGCTTTATTTTCCAAAAATTAAATGAACTAAATTTCAAAAAAATTAAATGCAAAACCAGATATTGATGGAAAATATATTTAGAGCACATGTACAATATGATAGAAACAAAATTCTGGGCACCTATTAAATTTATAAGATTTTCAGTTATCAGCTTTAAAATATGTAAGTACATATAACATTTTCTCCATTCTTTTAGAGGCTATGGCAAGCAAAAAAGTTTGAAGACCACTACTCTATACTTATCCAGATTCAATCCTATTTATGTGGTCCATATCCCCTTTGTGAAGCCTGACAGCTGCAGCCTATATTGAGCTAAATGTCACAGCATTTACTATTTGTAACAAACATTTTAACATTTGGTCTTTTAGTATACAAACATTTATGGTTCTCTAGTTATTTCATTTGGGGCAGTGCAGCAGGCAGACGCTAGAATGGCTCTCACTAATCCTCATCTCCTTGAATGTGGGTTGGACCTGGTGGTGTCTTGCTCCTGACAAAATAATGCGGCAAAAGTGATGGAAAGTCACTTCCAAGATTACAACAAGACTGACTTCCATTTTGCTTGTTTATCTCCCTCGTTCCCTGCCTCCCTCTCTTGGAGTCCTTGCTCTGGGAGAAGCAAGCTGCTATGTTGTGAGTAGCCTGTCACCCTACGGAGAAGCCCACGTGTCAAGAAACTGATGGCTTGGACCAGTAGCCATCGAGGATCAGCCAACAGCCATATGAATGAGTCTCTGAGAGGTCTTCCTCCAGGTGAGCCTGGAGATAAGTGCAGCTCCAGGTGACACACTGACTGCAGCCTTGTCTGGAGAGACCCTGGATCCTAAGCCATGCCTGCGTACTGACCCACAGAAACTGAGATGAAAAAGGTTTAAGTTACTAAGTTTGGGGGTGATTTGTTACGCAGCAATAAATAATAAATATAGGCAGAGGGGTGGGTGGTATGAAACATTAATAGTAATGCATACTGAATACAGGACTGCTGAATTAGTGATGGTAATGAAAGGCCAGCTAGAGTAATGGGTTCCCAGACTAGAATAACCATTTCAAAGCTAAACTTTGCCCTGCATTCCTCTGGAACAAAGACCACCACAGACTCTGTCACTTACACTGGGGCGTGTAACCAATTCCTTATCAATTTAACAGGGAAAGAATATCCTAGAATTTGGAGAGGAAGAAAAGCAAAAGTGTGTATATGTATAGAAGGAGACCAGTGGGTAAGGACTGGCTGGTGACATCTGGACACAGTGATTACATTTTGGAGTATCTTATTTCAAATTAGTGAATTTCAAAGCTGTTTTTTAAAACATTCCTTTGAGATTATATAATGCATATATTTGTATGTATAGACATGAATGTATACACACACATATATAATCTCAAAGAAATGTTTAGAAAACAACTTTGAAATTCACCAATTATGAATATGATTTAAAATTAAATCTGATTTGAAAATAAATCTGATGTCTTCTAAATTCTAAGCAATATGCCTGAATGAGGTGCTTGAATAATAGCATTTGTAAATTCAATTATAGAAATTCTCGATTTCTTTTATAGTTATAGTGCATACTATTTATTTCACAGGAAAAGTACTCACCCCAAATGATTCACCAATTGATACTAAGATCCTGTCAAGTTAATATAAAATACAAATTAGTAAATGAAAATCATATCCAACTGTGCAGAGGTGAACATACACACGTCATTCTGAATATCAGGAATGCCAAATCAAAGGTTTCCTCTACCCCTGGAACCACTGACAAATTATACTCATTAGAGACTTATTCTGGTACTGCTAGTCTAGTCAAACACTGAACTGGTTCCTTAAATTTTTTAAAGCAAGACCTGCATGTCTGCAAGAACATATTCTGCCATTGTTCTCATTTAAAAAGGGTAAAAGAAACTTTTAAGTTTATCCATACTTAATTCTTCATAAATCAATGACTAACAATTAAAATTTCTTTCACCTTTTCTCATTAAAAATTCAAGTTACATTTGGCAAAAACTTATATGTGATAATCAGAATTCTAATTAGGATCTATATATAGTATAGTAAATATATTTACTATATATAGTAAAGGCTATTTAACACATATCCTAGAATCAGAAATCTCTTATTAGTTTGTCCTTGCTTGAACCATATAATTTACGCTCCTGATAATAAAGGTGAAGAACAGCATTAGCCTGACACACAAAGATTTGATCATATGTACATGGAATCAATAAATATATGGATTTTATTGTCCTCCAATTCTTTGATAAGTGGCCATCATTCTATATACTGATATATTTGATTTAACTAAATATGCTGAATATGTAGAGTGTTAAGATGCTCTCTTAGGGCTTCCCTGGTGGCGCAGTGGTTGAGAGTCCGCCTGCCGACGCGGGTTCGTGCCCCGGTCCGGGAAGATCCCACATGCCGCGGAGCGGCTGGGCCCGTAAGCCATGGCCTCTGAGCCTGCGCGTCCGGAGCCTGTGCTCCGCGACGGGAGAGGCCACAACAGTGAGAGGCCCACGTAACACAAAAAAAAAAAAAAAAAAAAAAAAGAAGAAAAAGATGCTCTCTTAATACTTGATCAATGATTTATCAGTATTTTCAGAATGTGACTTTTTTGCTAAAGGACTCCAACCTGGAAGTGATTTAACTAAGATCAGCAAAAAAGCCATCATTATCAGCATAACATGGGTTAATTATCACCATTAAAAATTTAGCTAAGTATACGTTTTCATGTGTACAAATTAGACATGGTGTGGCATCTCAGCAGCTTATAATGTAATTTGTAGATATCAGTACACAGATACTCAACTATAAGAACACCAAATAAACAGAAGACGATACAGGGGCACATGGGAGCATTTATATCATTTGCCAATTATTTTCTACTTTTTCTTTTACTGTAGAGTTTGAAATTTTTATGAGTGTGCATTATTTATACAATTAAACACACCACACAAATTTTTTCTATAGGGTTAATATATCCCCTTCTTGTTTTTCTTGCCCATTAAGTACAACTATATGGGCTAACGTTTTCTGAGACTTTACAAGCTAATCTGCCTCCACTTTATCCAAATAAAGTCAGTTTTAAATAGCCCTTGATAACACATAATGAGTCAACTGAAGTACTTCAAAAGCCAGAGAGCACTTGCTGTTGGATGTGAAAGATAATATACTGATTTGTAGTTGCACAGAACCTTTCATCTGAGAATTTAAAACAGTTTCACACTCATCATTTACCTGAGCCACAGCACCCTGAGACCTGCCCAAGTTAATACAAAGAGGCCACAGGCAGAATTAGGGATGGACTTCTAAAGACTTAATTTACAGTCACCTACATTTAATCAGTCATCTACATTTTTATAAGCAAGATGAACACATCCACAGAAAGAGTTCACAGGACATTCAATAAACTCCAGAATAAAAATTCTTAACCAAAAGTAATCTACTTTGTTTAGCAGACTGGCTACTTACAAAAACATGGGAGTGACTTGAAACTTATCATCAAACTGGTGCTCAGACTGTTTACAAAAGAACAGATCCTAGCAGCCAGGAAAGCTGACGATTAAATGTGCAAACCCATCTAAGTAAACAGATTACCTCCCCCCGACCCCCAATTCTTATCACATCCCTTAATATAAATGAGGAAATTAGGGTCTCAAATCTAGCTTATTTTAAATGAAGAAAGCTTTGTGTTCTTAAGCTTGGATCAAAATAAGTCCCTCTTATTCTTTACCACTTCCCTAAAAAGAAAACACAAACCTTGATCTTGGAGTCATTTTTGCTGGCATAGGCAGACCTTCTGAAATTTTATACGGATTCTTCAGGGGTGATATGTAGATGTTCCCCCCAGGAACCCGTAAAGGTGAGCTAGAAAACTTGTAAGGGCTTCGAGGAATGTGAGGAATTGGTGACAAGGTAGGGGGCTAGAGGAAAAACAAAAAGAGTAGATTACTTAACGTTTTAGTGAGATCCACTGCTTTATAATTAGATTTTCCCAAACAAAGGATGCTTTTTAACATACCCTGGTGGAAGCATACTGCAAAATATTTGTTTTCAGTCTCTGCATGAAGACTGAATTATAGAATACGATAATAGAATCATACTCCTCTTCTCTGATCAAAACATGTTTGAATGTCTGAGGAAGAAGAGCAAAAACACTTGTTAAATGAATTTGGGTATTTAACTCCTTAGACTTTTTTTTTTTAATTAATTAATTAATTTTTGGCTGCATTGGGTCTTTGTTGCTGCGTACGGGCTTTCTCTAGCTGTGGTGAGTAGTGGCTTCCCTTGCTGCGGAGCACAGGCTCTAGATGCGTGGGCTTCAGTAGTTGTGGCACACGGGCTCAGTAGTTGTGGCACACGGGCTCAGTAGTTGTGGCTCACGGGCTCAGTAGTTGTGGCTCACGGGCTCTAGAGCGCAGGCTCAGTAGTTGTGGCTCACGGGCTCTAGAGCGCAGGCTCAGTAGTTGTGCACGGGCTTAGTTGCTCTGTGGCATGTAGGAACTTCACAGAACAGGGCTCAAACCCGTGTCCCCTGCATTGGCAGGTGGATTCTTAACCACTGTGCCATGAGGGAAGCCTAGATTTTCTATTTTAATAGTTCATAATACTATTTACAGTAAAAACGCATATTTTACAGGCAAAAACAATCCGAAAAAGCCATCTTAGGCTTGGATTATAGCTGCTCTACTAGCAGTGAAATGTCATAGATATATACAGTATGTTTTTTATATATTTGTGTAAAAGTTTATTACAAATATCCTGCTTATTGTCAGCGATATAGTATTCTTTATTTACTTTATAGTATGAATTTGAATACTAAAGTGTGTTAACTTCCCAATTACATTTTAGTTACAAATAATTAACCAATAATACGAAAGTAAAAAGTTGATATGTAAATTTATATAATACAGTCAGAACATATGATATAATTAATGACTGAAGCTATCCATATTATAGATACGTATATATCTGGAAAATTCTTACCATGGAAAATTACCTACCTCCTGAACAGCATGAGGAAGATCTTTGTATGCTGTTACAATGATTTTGAATTTAAGGTCTATATTCTTCACTTTGCATATGCCATACATGGAACACATCATAATCTAGTAAATAAATGTGATATAAAAATAGTCAGGATTTTGTTGCATGGTTGTACTCTAAAAAACACTGTTATCTTTCTTTTAGTTTCAAAAAATGGAAATTTAATTTCCTACAGAATTATCTTTTCCCATCCTGAGCTCAGTTTGAATGTACATGTAAAGTATTTAAAGAACAGAATGCAAATAGCCAACTCTCAGTTACTCAGGACTGATCATCTGGTTTGTAAATAACCCTAACTTTGGCTCCTGTTCCTTAAATATTTCTCAGAAGAGAAAAGTTGAAACTGGAATCAATTAACTGTTTAACTAGCACTTAAAAAAAAAAAACCAGGTGTGAAAAGGGTTCAAACTATTAGATAAAATAATATTGACTATACTCAGTGGTGGTGTTAAGGGGGATGCAGTAACTGGAAGGGGACAGGAGACAGTCTTCTGTTGACAATGTTCTGTTTCTTGATTTGCTTTCATAGATGAGTTCAGTTGATGAATTTACATTAAGATGTATCCTTATGATATATGGATTACTCTATACACATATTACATTTAAAGAGAAGGGTATTTTAAACATAAAAATAAAATTTGAAGTGATTTTCTGTGACTTTGAAACATCGAACTTTCTTAATTTGTCTGAATTTTACTACCTAATTTAAGAACTGATATCTTCTGCAACATTCTTGCTCCCATCTACCGCCAAGAATACCTACTCAACATCCCTTGTTTAGCATCTTAAACAGCCCCAATACTACTATTTCTCCCGTTTAGAATGCCATCCAAGTATCCTCTTTGGTAGTTCACACTGTTCTATTTCAATACTTTACCTAAGATACCTCTCACAAAATCTTCTTGATTCCAGATACCTAATCTCTTTAGAAATCCTTAGCACTACTGTCTATCTTTCTATATTATAGAAAAGCAGTAGACCCATAAGGCAATAAGTGCCTACTTAAAAAAAAAATCCAACATACTAGAATTTAGAGTTCAAATATGCTCTTGTAAAATATACATATTTGTAGGTTATACCTTTATACAATAATTCATCTTTTGCTCAAAATATCATTCTTACTGGGAAAAATACTACCAAACTTACCAAAATAAAAAGATTAAAAGGGAACATTATGAACAGCTGCATAGCAACCAAACAGATATCTAAGATGAAATGGAAAAATTTAAGGAAAGACACAAACTACCAAAACTGACTCAAGAAGAAAAAGAAAATCTGAGCTTTTGAAGCACTAAAGCACCAAAAGCTTCAAAGAACACAATCAAGAAAGTGAAATGAAAAAAAAAAAAAAAAAAAAAAAAAAAAAAAAAATAACAACTCAGAGAATGAGAGAAAATATTTGCAAATCATATAAGGATTTGCATGATAAAGAACTTGCATGTAGAATATATGAAAAACCCTTTCGGCTCAACAATAAAAAGACAACCCAATGAACAAATAGGTAAAGTATCTGAATAACTATTTCTCCAAAGAAGATATACAAATGGTCAATAAGAACACAAAAAGATTCTCAATATCATTAGCCATCAGGGAAGTGCAAATCAAAACCACAAAGAGATATCACTTCATATCCATTAAGATGGCTATAATCCAAAAGGCAAATAAGAAGTTGGGGTAGATGTGAAGAAACTGGAACCCCATACACTGCTGACAGGAATGTAAAATGGGTAGCCATGATAGTAAACAATCTGGCCATTCCTCAAAAGGCAATACAAAGAGTTACCATATGACCCAGCAATTCCACTCCTAGGTAAATACCCTAGAGAAATGAAAACATACGTCCACCCAAAAACTTGCACGTGAATTTTCATTAACATTATTCATAATAGCCAAAAAGTGGAAACCAAATGTACATCAACTGATGAATAAATAAACATGATGTGGTATATAGCCATACAATGGAATATTATTTGGCAATAAAAAGGAATGAAGTACTGATACAAGCTATAACACAGATGAACAATGAAAACATAGTAAGTGAAGGAATCCAGACACAAAAGATAACATTATATGATTCCATTTATATGAAATGTCCAGAAGAGGCAAGTCTATAAAGACAGAAAGTAGATTAGCGTGTTGCCTGTGGTTAGAGGGGGTAGGAGAATAGAGGCGTGTATGCTACAGGTACAGGGTTTCTTTTTGACATGATGAAAATATTTTAAAACTGATTTTGGTGATTGTTGCACTACTCTGTTAATATACTAAAAACTACTGAACTGTACATTTTAAATGGGTAATTAGCATGGTATATGAATTACATCTCAATAAAACTGTTACAAAAATATTATTCCATAAACAGAGAAGAAAGAGGAAGATATGAGAGATGGTCTTTGTAAATTAACTCATTCATTTATTCATCTGACACTGTTTTAGATCAACTATTCTTTTTTAGATCTTTTTTAGATCAACTAAGGTCCCCGGGGGTTCTTAGTTCCCCAACAAGGGATCAAACCCATGCCCCCTGCAGCCTGCAGTGGAAGCACAGAGTCTTAAGCACTGGACCAGGGAAGTCCTAGATCAACTATTCTTAAGTCTCATGCTTTTTCCACACTAAATGAATTCTAGCTTACCACAACACAGAAAAAGCCTATGATAAAGTTTCTTCAGTGAGCTTTGCAGTGAGATCTTTCATGCCATTAAATAAGTAAAGTTATTGAAATATTCTCAAGCTCTAAAGCTCTCATTTGTAAGAAATATAGCAAAAATATAAAGGGTAGCCAACAAGCAAAATATATATTAAGTCTACTAAATCGATGCAGCTTCTCATGTGAATCTAACCTTTTCTTAAGAAATCAGTACACAGCTAACAAGTGAGTCGAGTAGGAAAAGTGCATAATTTTCTTACCTGGTCCAAATGCCTGTCTCTCATGAGTTCATACTCATTTTGCAGTGTGTGTTGGAAAAGGGTCCAGATAATATGTTCTAGTTCTGGGTGGTCAGACAGAAGGCGTGCACACAGGGTATTTAGTCGAAGATATGCTAGTCGATACACTGGAAAAATAAGGGGAATTAATCACATTTACTCTTAATTTTGTATCACAAGTGGATTTTTTCAAAACATTAAATTGCTATAACCAAATGCTGTTAAATAGCATTTTAACATTAACTTCATCTCTACCACTGTTTTCCTTATGAATAAATGATTTGTAGCCTTAGCACTGTCCTAGATACTAGAAGGCAAAATAATACTTTGCTGAAAGCATTATTCAGCAAAAAAAATTCTTTTGCTAAATTATTACAGCATAAAATTGAGGTAGAGGGACTTCCCTGGTGGTCCAGTGGTAAAGAATCCGCCTTCCAATGCAGGGGACGCGGGTTCGATCCCTGGTTAGGGAACTAAGACCCCACATGCAGCAGGGCAACTAAGCCCGTGCGCTACTTAGCTCCTGCGCCTCAACTACAGAGCCTGCGTGCCACAAACTACAGAGCTCACGCACTCTGGAACCCACACGCCACAACTACAGAGCCCACGCGCCCTGGAGCCTGCACACCACAACTAGAGAGAGAAAACCTGCACGCCACAACTAGAGAGACGCCCGTGCGCCACAATGAAAGATCTCATATGCCTCAACGAAGATCCCGCGTGCCGCAACCAACACCCAACACAGCCAAAAATAAATTAAATAAAATAAAATAAAGTTGAGGCGGAGGGAGAAAGATCCTAAGATCTTGTGAAATTAGACAATCCAAATAGAGTTTGTTTCAGTTCCACTGGTAATCTCTCATCACAGATGTTGAAAATTCTCACTATCAATATTCAAGAGGGTAATTATTTTTTAAAATAATGGAATTTCCAAAGTCCCTCAATTTTTCCAATCCTAAAAACAAAAAACAAATAGTGTATTTCTCTATAAAAATGCTAGACTTGTAGATTACCTAAGTGGTAATATGACTGTGATATTAAATTTAGAGAGTTTATTAAAAAATGCTAGTGGAACATAGGTTGGAGAAAAGTAATCCACAAAACTGAATTTTCCTCCATCTACTTTAAACATAATGACCCTTGGTTTAAATTTACTTTTCAAAGACTTGCATACGGTAATCAGAATTTTTTAGTTAATAATTTATCCCAGTGGTCCTCAACTTTGGCTTATATCAGACTTGCATTGAGGGCTTGTAAAAACAATGATTTTTTTTTTTTTTTTTTGCCTCATCCTAGAGCTTCTGACTGAGTAGTTCTAGGGGCAGGGCTCAAACAAAAATTCTCATTTCTACAACTTAGCAGGTGAGGTGGATTCTGCTGGTTGGGGACCATACTTTGGAACCAATGCTCTTAACGTAAGGGCTTATAACATGCCTATAAAGTTCAGTATATCTCTGACTTGAATAAAAATCAGAAAAATGATTTATCACAGAGGAATGTGGCCTTTTACTTTCCTTCAAAGAGCTCCAAGTGGGTGTGCACTTGCATGTATACACACATGCACAGACACCCAAATGACCTCCCCATCCCACCACATACACACACAATCAGAGAATGCTATACAACCTGGTTACCAGGAAATGCACCTGCACTAGGCCACAACACATTGTATAATCTCAACTCACACACCTGAACAGCAAAAGTAATGTTAGGAGCAAATATTTCCAGGCATAAAGTTGAAAGCGTAACACTAGCAGTGACAATAACAACATCTAACACTTTCTGAGTGCTTACTATGTGCTAGGCACTGTTGGAAGCGTTTTATGTATTAATTCATTTAATATCTCAAAACCCATACAAGGTAGATTATTATTATTTCCATTTTACAGATGAGAAAACAGGCATAGAGATATTAAAGTTTTTTTTCCCTTTTTTTTAAAAATTGGAGATTAATTGCTTTACAATGTTGTGTTAGTTTCTGCTGTACAATGAAGTGAATGAGCTATATTTGTACCTATATCCCCTCCCTCTTGGACCTCCCTCCCACCCCACCCCCATCCCACCCATCTAGATCATCATAGAGCACCGAGCTGAGCTTCCTGTGCTTTATAGCATGTTCCCGCTAGCTATCTATTTTACGCGTGGTGGTGTATATATGTCAATCCTAATCTCCCAATTCATCCCACCCTTCCCTTCCCCACCATGTCCACATGTCTGTTCTCTACGTCTACACCTCTATTCCTACCCTGCAAATAGGTTCATCTGTACCATTCTTATAGATTCTACATATATGCATTAATATACGATATCTGTTTTTCTCTTTCTGGCTTACTTCACTCTGTATGACAGACTCTAGGTCCATCCACATCTCTACAAATGACCCAACTTCATTCCTTTTCATGGCTAAGTAATATTCCATTGTATATATGTACCACACCTTCTTTATCCATTCATCTGTCGTTGGACATTTAGGTTGCTTCCATGACCTGGCTAATGTAAATAGTGCTGCAATGAACATTGGGGTACATATGTCCTTTTGAATTATGGTTTTCTCAGGATATATGCCCAGTAGTGGGATTGCTGGGTCATATGATATTAAAGCGACTTGCCCAAATTCACGCCTAGTTAAGCAGAAGAGCCATGATTTGAATCCAGTCAGCCTCGTTTCAGAGTCCATGCTCTTGAGAGTGATCATCTACTAACCTTTTTTGTAAAAGAGTGAAAGGGAGGTAGATTTCAATGGCTTCTGAGTCTGGAAGGCTGAGGTTGCTTGTGCCTCTGAATTTGCAGTAGAATTTACACGTGTAGTTGACCCTTTTTTCTTTGGGGATCTTACAGGAGAAAGATACCTAGATATATTCAAAGGAAAAGACTTCATTTGAAGTTTGCTAAGAATCTCTCTCTCTCTCTCTCTCTCTCTCTCTCGCTCACACACACACACACACACACACACACACTCACGGCTGTACACATGCATCCAAACACATCTTGTCTATTTAATCTACTGTTCTACACCAAATCCCTCTTTAAATACAAGTTGGGAAAGAGAGATTAATAGGAAAACTAAGCTTGTGCTTATCATTTCTAACTCTATTTCAATAAATAGCTTTTCTTGGGAATTACTGAGTTATTTAAAAAATAGCTGCATATGTTTATATGTTCAATTCTAATAATTAAAGTGGGACTGAGTTCATAAAATTCTGGTTCAGAATTTCTGGTTCCAGAATTCTGGTTCAGTCCTTCTTCCAGCTTAAAAGAACAAGCCACTGATATCAAAATATCAATTTCTCTGATTCTCTCCTAAAATCATTTCATTGATAACTATGGTTCATATACATAGCACTTAAGTTACACATACATACTCCCTCCTAAATTATATAGTACACAATTATATGAATTAATATTTCAGGTAACATTATCAAGGCAGATTTATACCTGTATACTAAAAATATGTCAGGCATAAATCAAGGCAGAGATATTAGTAAAATTATTTCTCAATTTCTGACCTTCTACTGCTCTGTGTTGCCCTTTATTTTAGAGGATAATCCAGGTCTACTTTCTTTTTTTTTTTTCAAGAACACTTTTTATTAAGGTCACTATTAGTAAAAGGTTTACAATCTTTTAAAAATATCCCAGAACCTACTATGAAGAGCAAGTACTAGGGAGTAAACACCAAAGCATAACTTTCTAATTTTGTTTTAGTAGCTGAGAAATCATTCTGAGCAGGAAGTAGGATTTGTACCTTACTATGGATGTTTCTAGTACATGCAATATATTTACTAGTACACTAGGAAAAGGGAATCACCATCATAACTTTATAAGTACCAGGGTCTAGTCTATTATCACCCTTGAATTTCCCTTCAATTCACTAACTAACAATATTGTAGACTGACTTAACTTGGGTAGAAGTTAGTCCACCTTGAATTCTAGGTGACCACATTACCTCCTGGACTTTGCTACTTGAATCTCAGACTTAAGAAGGCCAAAGTGGAGCTCTTGATTTCTTTCCCATTCTTCCCATGTCAAGAAATGGCTTCACATTACATCCAGTTTAAGTTAAAAACTTAGGAGGTATTTTTAATTTTTCCCTTTTCCCAATCTTCAAACCCAATGCAAAAGAAAGTTCTATTAAATCTTCCTCTAAAATACACCCCAGATCTTTCCATTTCTTTGTATCTCTACTGACATATCTTAGACCAAGTCGTTTACATCTCTCACTTGAACTACTGAAATTTTCTCCAAACTGGTCTTTCTACTTTCTTCCTTGCCCTGTTCCTTTCCCTCCTCCAAACCCACCTGTACTTCAAGTAGCAGCCAGAAACTGACCCTTTAAAAATACCAATTATAGCAAGCTGCACCCCTGCTTAAAACCTTAATGCTTTCCCACTGCCCTTCTAAAACCCAAACTCCTCCCTTCGGCCTATGAGAACCTACAAGGTCTAGCTCCAGTTTGCCTCTCCAGCCCCATCTTGTACCATTTTCCTCTTGTTTGCTTTGGGGTTTCTTTCTGTTCCTCAGACCAGCTAAGTTTGACCACCCAAGGCCACTGCACTTAATACTGTTTGCTGTGCCTGTTATGCACATCATACAGATTTTGCCTGGCCAGCACCCACTTGTTCCTGAAGTCTCAGGTCAAATAGCACTTCATCAGAGAAAGCTTCCCTAAACATTCTATCACTCTCTTAGCTTCTCTCTTTCACATCATTCTGTTTCTTTCTATTACAGAACTTATTATATTCTACAATAACCTTATGTATTAGTTTACTTGTTCACTGTTTATTTCCTTCCTCCAGAGCGTAAGCTCTATGAGGGGAAGGACCTAGTCCATCTTATTCGCCTTTGTATTCCCAGTGCCTAGAACACTTCCTGGCACCTAACAGACAACTGCTTATTGAATTAAAGAAAAAGATAAGGCTTGACTTATTTATATTTACGTATTACCTAGCAAACAAATTTATACATGAAGGCAGAAGCTCCATATGCTAGAAATACTTTGGTACAAATTATCATGGAAATGACATCTCTGGAAAACAGTCCCTGCACTAATCACAGAACGCTGTAATGTCAATTCCTATACAGAACTGAACAGGAACATAACATTAGGCACATTTCTATGAAAGGCAATGTAGCTAGACTGCTTAAGAGCATGGGCTTTGGGGTCAGATTGCTTGAGTTTGATTTCTAATTCCTTTTTCATAGATAACGCAGGCTGACAGCCGTGTCTATTATCTTACAGGGCTGTTAGGTCACTGTCCAGCACACAGTGAACCCTCAATAAATGTTAGTTATCTCCTTCTTCTTCCATCACACCATCATGCACTAATCAACCGTTTTAGTCTCGGATCCCACACTACTCCCTTTGTCCCACCCTATGCTTCACTCCAGATGCACTGAGCTGTACTCCCTGAAAAATGTTTCCGGCTTTCCTGGCTGCTATACTTTGGGATTCATGCTATTTCGGTCTCTTCCCTCCTCTCCAGTTTCCATGTTGAAATCCTGCTCTACCTTTGAGGACTATCTAAATTGCCATCTCTGCATGAAAGGTGTCCTCATACACCAAACCTGAGTGATTTCAGTAGCACTCTGTACCACTGTATATGAACTTTATTTGGGTCATGTATCTTATATTCCTGATCCCTGAAAGCGGGACAAATGTCTTATTCAAAATTCTATTCCCTACAGCTTTTGTATAACATCTTGCGTCACACTATGCTCAGAATCTATTTGCAAGTTGAATGGATTGACACAACAGATATTCTACTTACATATCTGCTGCAGTGTGATTATTCTGGAGAGGAAGGTTGAGAGTACAAGCAGGTTCAAGGTGATCAGCTGGTCCTTCTCGGTCCTTTGCTTGTTTAATAAGATCAAATAAAGGTGACTCCTATATGAAACAAGATGACATTAAAACAACATTGGTAAGTATGATTCTCCAATGTATATATCAAAATCATATGGTTTGACATGGTGAGCATTATGAATTTAGTCATAATTGACAATAGCAATTCTGAAGTCAGAATAAGATTCTTTTCTCCACCTTGAAAATAATGACTGCCAATTTTTGTATTACACATAAAATAAAGAACTAGGAATATGTATGACTTCAAATGCTTGTATTAGAAAAGAAATTAAAAGTTAGGGAAAGAAACACAGAAGAGACCCAAAGAAAGTAGAAGGAAGAAAATAATAAAGACATGAACAGGATTTAATGAAACTGAAAACAAAGATAAAACACATGGTTTGATCAACTGAGCTAATAATTGGTACTTTGAAATAACTAATAAAATTAAACAAAACTCCAGTCAGATCGACTGAGAAAAAGAGAAGAGACAGATAAATAGTATTAGGAACAAAACTGGAGCCACCATTACGAAGATTAGAAAGATAATAGGGTTGTGAAAAAATTTATGTCAATTCACAGGAAAACTTAGACCAAGTGGAAAATTCCTCAAAAATATAAATTGACCAAACTCAATAAGAAATAAATAAACCTCAACAGTCCTATAAACTATTAAAGAACTTGGATCAGTAATTAAAAGTCTCCCCACAAAGAAAACATCAAGCACCGCTGGTTTTACGAGTGAATTCCACCAAACATTCAAGGAAAAGATAATTCCACTTTTGCTCCAACTCTTCAGAGAATGGAAGAAGTAAAAACATTCTCTATCTCATTTTATGAGGCTAGTACAACACTGATACTAAAAACTGTCAAGGACATTACAAAAAGGTAAATTATAGCCCATTCTTGCTCATGAACAGAGATACAAAAATTCTGAACCAGAAATATTAGCAACCCACAACAGCAGTGTTAAAAAGAATATATCATTTACCAAGTTGAGTTTATCCAGGTTGCAAAATTAGTTCAACATTAGAAAATCTATAATGCAATTCACCTCACTAATAAATCTAAGGTGAAAAATCTTGTCAAAATCAGTGCAGAAAAAGTTCTCATTTAAAAACCCATTTGTCATTAAAAAAAAAAGAAAACTCTTTGTAAACCAGGAACAGAAGGATACTCCAAATTTGATAAATGACATCTACAAATAAAGAGAAAAACCACAGCAAACATTATATATAGTGGTGAAACGTTAAGAGCATTCCCCTTAAAAAATTGGAGATAAGAGAAGGTTGTCCAGTTATCATGCTTTCTATTCAGCATTATACTTGAAGTTCCAGTCTGCTCAATAAGTCAAAGAAAAAAGACTGGAAAGGAAGAAAGAACAAAAATACCATTATTCACAAATGATTTATCTGTTGATAAAGAAAATTCAAAAGGATCTACAGTGAAATTATTAGAATAAGAGAGATTAGCAAGGCTTCTGTACTGTTATGAAATCAATATGAAAAATAATTATGTTTCTATACACCAAGCAAACAGTTTAACAGCATAATTTTTAAAATACCATTTACAAAAAAGTAAGACCAGCAGTAAAAACCATTAAAAGCCTTGATTCAAAAATTGTAACTTTCTGGAGGTGAAAGCTTGCAAGTCCATAAAAATGGGGGCCATATATATATTCTACTCTTTTAGTACTTGAACTAAAGGGCAAGAAAACAGACAGATGGCCAAGATGCTAGGTTTATTTCAAAAGGAAAAGCGGTGTATCCGTAAATAAAAATACAAAACACTGTAGAATATAAGTAGATTTTGTAAAAATATGAAGATAGTCTATTCAATAAAAGGTGAAAAATTAGCTAGCAATTTGAAAAAAAATATTAAACTTTCATAATATATAGAAAATCAATTACTTATGTTAAAAAACAAAATTGAAAAGTATGCAAAGTATATGAGAATATCTTTATAACTTTTAAAAAATCTTTTTTCACCTTTATTGAAGTATAATTAACAAAAGTCATATATATTTAAGGTGCACAACGTGATGGCTTCATACATTGTGAAATGATCACACAATCAAGCTAATTAGCATTCATTACCTCACATAGTTACTTTTTTTCAACCCTTCACCTCCTTCTTTATAACTACTTTATTTATTTTAAAATTTTTTAATGTTATTTTTTTATACAGCAGGTTCTTATTAGTCATCAATTTTATACACATCAGTGTATACATCTCAATCCCAATCGCCCATTTCAGCACACCACCATGCCCACCGCCTGGCGGCTTTCCCCCCTTGTTGTCCATATGTTTGTTCTCTACATCTGTATCTCAACTTCTGCCCTGCAAACCGGTTCATCTGTACCATTTTTCTAGGTTCCACATATATGTGTTAATATATATTTGTTTTTCTCTTTCTGATTTACTTCACTCGGTATGACAGTCTCTAGATCCATCCACATCTCAACAAATGACTCAATTTCATTCCTTTTTATAGCTGAGTAATATTCCACTGTATAGCTGAGTAATATTCCACAACTTCTTTATCCATTGGTCTGTCAGTGGGCATTTAGGTTGCTTCCATGACCTGGCTATTGTAAATAGTGCTGCAGTGAACATTGGGGTGCATGTGTCTTTTTGAATTATGGTTTTCTCTGGGTATATGCCCAGTAGTGGGATTGCTAGATCATATGGTAATTCTATTTTTAGTTTTTTAAGGAACCTCCATACTGTTCTCCATAGTGGCTGTATCCATTTACATTCCCACCAACAGTGCAAGAGGATTCCCTTTTCTCCACACCCTCTCCAGAATTTGTTGTTTGTAGATTTTCTGATGATGCCCATTCTAACTGGTGTGAGGTGATACCTCATTGTAGTTTTGATTTGCATTTCTCTAATAATTAGTGATG